GTCTTTTCGAGCCTTAAGCTATAAACTCTTCTCCCGAGTTCATAATGGGTAGACAGTAAACTAACGCAACACCTTTGCGTATCCGCAACTTTAGTCGTCCCAATCCTAAAACATTCTGTTGCTTGAAGAATTCTTCGAAAAATTTGGGGTTATTTCGAAAAGCGGATTATATATTGAGTTCAACTGTAATAAAAGAGAAGCTTAAAATGTTTAATGACTTGTATTATGTTACGAGGACGCGAGTTAGATGCTATATAAATAGCTCAATGTTCCTTACTGCAGAAAGATTCTTGCAAATATTCTCCAAGACATCTACCGTTTCGGATCATCTCATCGGGTCTCATCTAAAATTACTTCTGATCGTGCTTTTTAAGTTCTATAAGCTTGCACAATACCTTCATAGCATTGAGAATAGCAAAGAATACCAACTATTTCAGGATCAATCCAAACCATATGACTCGAAGAAGAACTGTTGGGTTCCCGATGCGGAAGATGGGTACGTCGCTGGAGAAATCACCTCTACTAAGGGAGATACCGTCACCATTGTTACAGCCCGTGGAAATGAGGTTTGCTATATTAACTATTCTCCTATAGATTAAGTCGCACTCATTGCGCTCTCTGAGAAGAGATCCTCGGTCTCTTGATCGTTGTGTATGCCAACAGCTGCGGGTTTTTCCTCACGAGTCGTGGGTGCCGCCGCAGGCGTACGTTGTAATGCGGATCCACAACTGTGGAGTTTCCTATAAAAAATCAGATTGGACTGAAATGTAATTTCTTACTGTAAAGCCCAGATCATAGGAAGAGGATCTCTGAAAGGACGTGCAAAAAAGATGACCCTTAAGTCCGTAATTCATTGCAGGTGACAATCAAGAAGGAGCTCGTGCAGGAGATGAATCCTCCAAAATATGAGAAAACCGAGGACATGTCCAACTTGACCTTCCTTAACGATGCATCAGTCCTTCACAACTTGCGTTCTCGTTACGCAGCCATGCTTATCTACGTAAGTAACTTTGAATCATACAATTCTTCCCATGACAGTCATTGTACAAGCAAAAAGATAACAGCTAAGAAGCCTTGTGGCCTTGTCAGACGTAGACGGGATTCTCGGTAGCTGGACTGCTGTTACTCACTTCCTCTTGGGATTACACTATTCGCGCAAATGATCTAGCTCTCGATCTTACCTCAACGTGCAGCATATGTTGAGCGAATGCGATGTTTTACGCATAGCAAAAAGAGATATAAAGTGTAATTGAATGAACAAGGATTAACAGTGTCACAGAATATGAATGTGTAGTGATTCTTTCAGACTTACTCTGGTCTCTTCTGCGTTGTGATCAACCCGTATAAACGTCTTCCAATTTACACTGAATCCGTGGCAAGGATGTTCATGGGCAAGAGAAGAACCGAAATGCCTCCTCATCTGTTCGCCGTCTCTGACTTAGCATATAGAAATATGCTTCAAGATCATGAGAACCAGTCTATGCTTATCACAGGAGAATCTGGAGCAGGAAAGACTGAAAACACCAAGAAAGTGGGTGGTTGCAACTTGAGCAAATGTTCACCCTATAATTGAATGCTTTAGGTAATTGCCTACTTCGCCAGCGTTGGTGCCAGTCAACAAGAAGGCGCAGCCGCGGGTGAAGGAAAGAAGAAGGTCACCCTGGAAGACCAGATCGTCCAGACTAACCCCGTCTTGGAGGCGTTCGGCAATGCCAAGACTGTCCGTAACAACAACTCTTCTCGTTTCGGAAAATTCATTCGGATTCACTTCTCAAAGGCCGGACGTCTCGCTTCTTGCGATATCGAACACTATCTTCTCGAAAAATCTCGTGTAATTCGTCAGGCTCCTGGAGAGCGTTGCTACCACATCTTCTACCAAATTTTCTCTGATTACAAACCCGAGTTGAAGAAGGCTCTTGAACTCGACAAACCTCTCAAAGATTACTGGTTTGTTGCTCAGGCTGAGCTATCAATTGATGGGGTCAACGACAAAGAGGAGTTCCAAATGACCGATGAGGCGTTCGACATCTTGAACTTTTCGGCAGAAGAAAAGATGAATTGTTACCGTCTTATGGCCGCACTCATGCATATGGGTAACATGAAGTTCAAGCAGCGCCCCCGTGAAGAGCAGGCTGAGCCAGATGGTACTGAAGAGGCCGAGAAAGCCGCTAGCATGTACGGTTTGTCTAACGAGGAATTCATCAAGGCTCTAACTAAGCCCCGTGTAAGAGTTGGAACCGAATGGGTTAACAAAGGACAGAACATGGAGCAGGTCAACTGGGCCACTGGAGCTATGGCCAAGGGCCTCTATGCTCGTGTATTCCATTGGCTTGTTAAGAAATGCAACCTTACCCTAGATCAGCAAGGAATCTCGCGTGACTATTTCATCGGTGTGCTTGACATTGCTGGTTTCGAAATTTTCGACGTAAGTGGAACCATGAGCTTTTCTTAGATTTTGAAAAAATCAAAATATTTTAGTTCAACTCGTTCGAACAGCTGTGGATCAACTTCGTAAACGAAAAACTGCAGCAGTTCTTCAATCATCACATGTTCGTTCTTGAACAAGAAGAATACGCCCGCGAAGGTATTCAGTGGACTTTCATCGATTTCGGTCTCGATCTGCAAGCTTGTATCGAACTGATTGAGAAGGTACAATTCTGCACGATTTAATGAAAGTTCAAGTCTTCAATTGCTGTTTTAGCCCCTTGGTATCATTTCCATGCTTGATGAAGAGTGTATCGTACCAAAGGCTACTGACCTGACTCTGGCCCAGAAACTGAACGAGCAACATCTCGGTAAACACCCAAACTTCGAAAAGCCTAAACCTCCAAAGGGAAAGCAGGCCGAAGCCCACTTTGCCATGCGTCACTACGCTGGAACTGTGAGATACAATGTGACCAACTGGCTGGAGAAGAACAAGGATCCTCTGAACGACTCAGTCGTGTCCGTTATGAAACAGTCCAAAGGAAACGATTTGCTTGTGGAGATCTGGCAAGATTATACCACCCAAGAAGAAGCTGCTGTCAAGGCCAAAGGTCAGTTCGACTTTCAATAGTCTTTAAAAATTTGCAGATTAATCTTGCCAGTTGCAGAGCCTGGTGGCGGAGGCAAAAAGAAGGGAAAGTCCGGCTCGTTTATGACTGTCTCTATGCTGTATCGCGAGTCTTTGAACAACTTGATGAGTATGCTGAACAAGACCCATCCCCACTTTATCCGTTGTATCATTCCCAACGAGAAGAAGGCTTCCGGAGTAATTGATGCAGCACTTGTGCTTAATCAATTAACATGCAACGGTGTACTCGAGGGTATCCGTATTTGTCGCAAAGGCTTCCCCAACAGAACTCTTCACCCCGATTTCGTGCAGCGTTATGCTATTCTCGCCGCCAAGGAAGCCAAGTCCGAAGAAGACAAGAAGAAGTGCGCAGAAGCCATGATGTCAAAACTAGTGAATGAAGGCGCGGTCACTGAGGAGATGTTCCGTATTGGTCTCACAAAAGTGTTCTTCAAAGCCGGAGTATTGGCCCACCTTGAGGATCTACGCGACGAAAAGCTAGCCATCATCATGACCGGATTCCAAGGTCAGATTCGCTGGTACCTTGGACAAGTCGATCGCAAGCGACGTGTAGAACAGCGCGCTGGTCTGCTCATCGTCCAGCGCAATATTCGCTCATGGTGTACGCTGCGTACTTGGGAATGGTTCAAACTATACGGAAAAGTCAAGCCAATGCTCAAGGCAGGAAAGGAAGCCGAAGAGCTGGAGAAGATCAACGAAAAGGTAAAACAACTTGAAGAGAGCTTGGCTAGGGAAGAGAAGCTACGAAAGGAGCTCGAGGATAGTTCCACGAAGCTGTTGGAAGAAAAGAACAACTTGTTCACTAACCTCGAAAGCACTAAGGGACAACTCTCAGATGCTGAAGAACGCCTCGCTAAGTTGCAGTCTCTGAAGGGAGATGCCGATAAGCAACTTGCTGTTAGTTTACAATTCTTTCTTCAGTCACGACAATAATTAAAATGTTTTGTTTAGGAGTTAAATGAACGCCTTGCCGATCAAGAAGATCGCAACGCCGACGTCCAGCGCGCAAAGAAGAAGGTGGAATCAGAACTTGAGTCTTTGAAAAAACAAATTCAAGAACTCGAAATGAGCTTGAGGAAGTCTGAGTCCGAGAAACAATCCAAGGACCACCAGATCCGTTCTCTCCAAGATGAAATGCAACAGCAAGATGAAGCAGTCGCAAAACTCAACAAGGAGAAGAAGCATCAAGAGGAGATCAACCGTAAACTAATGGAGGACCTTCAGTCCGAAGAGGATAAGTCGAACCATACCAACAAAGTGAAAGCTAAGTTGGAGCAAACTCTTGATGATCTCGAAGACAATCTAGAACGAGAAAAAAGATCTCGCGCTGATCTTGACAAGCAGAAGAGAAAGGTAGAAGGTGAGCTGAAGATTGCCCAAGAAAACATCGACGAGGCAGCACGTCAACGTCACGATCTTGAAAACAATCTAAAGAAAAAGGAGAGTGAATTACATTCCATTAGCAGCCGGCTGGAGGACGAACAAGCTCTGGTAAGCAAACTCCAACGACAGATCAAGGAGGGACAGAGCCGCATCTCTGAACTCGAAGAAGAACTCGAAAGTGAGCGGCAATCTCGTGCCAAGGCCGACCGCGCTAAGTCTGACCTTCAGCGCGAACTCGAAGAACTCGGAGATCGCCTTGATGAGCAAGGAGGCGCCACCGCTGCTCAGGTTGAGCTCAACAAAAAGCGCGAAGCTGAACTCGCCAAACTACGCCGCGACCTTGAGGAGGCCAACATGAACCATGAGAACCAACTTGGTGGGCTCAGAAAGAAGCACACTGACGCCGTTGCTGAGCTCACCGACCAACTCGATCAGCTACAGAAGCAAAAGGCTAAGATCGAGAAGGAAAGGCTGCAGGCGCAACAGGAAGCAGAAGAGCTTGCTGCCCAACTTGACGCTGAGACGTCCGCCAAGATGAACAACGAAAAACTTGCAAAGCAGTTTGAACTTCAGCTCACAGAGCTTCAGTCCAAATGTGATGACCAGTCTCGACAACTGCAAGACTTTATTTCACTCAAAGGACGCTTGCACAACGAGAACTCTGATATCAGTCGCCAACTTGAAGACGCCGAGTCTCAGCTGAACCAATTCTCACGCCTTAAGAGCCAGATGACCAGTCAACTTGAAGAGGCCCGACGCACTGCTGACGAGGAGGCTCGAGAACGTCAAACCCTTGCTGCTCAGGCCAAGAACTTCCAACACGAGGCTGAGCAACTTCAGGAAAGTCTTGAGGAGGAAATTGAATCAAAGAACGAAGTAATGCGGCAGCTTAGCAAAGCTAACGCTGAAATTCAGCAGTGGAAAGCACGCTTTGAAGGCGAAGGTCTCATCAAAGCCGACGAGCTTGAAGATGCCAAGAGACGTCAAGCCCAGAAGATTAACGAGTTGCAGGAAGCGCTCGACGCCGCCAATTCAAAGATCGCTTCGCTTGAAAAAACCAGGAGTCGTTTGGTTGGGGACCTCGACGACGCTCAGGTTGATGTTGAGCGTGCCAACGCATTCGCTAACGCTCTTGAAAAGAAGCAGAAAGGCTTTGACAAGATCATTGACGAATGGAGAAAGAAGACCGACGACCTCTCTGCTGAGCTCGACTCAGCTCAAAGGGATGCTCGCAACACTGCAACCGAGTTGTTCAAAGCAAAGAACGTCCAGGAGGAGCTGCACGAGGTTGTTGAAGGACTTCGCCGCGAGAATAAGAGTCTCAGCCAGGAAATTAAAGACCTAAGCGACCAACTCGGTGAAGGAGGTCGATCTGTGCACGAAATGCAGAAGATCCTTCGCCGTCTCGAAATCGAGAAGGAGGAGCTGCAGCATGCTTTGGATGAAGCTGAAGCTGCACTTGAGGCCGAGGAAAGCAAGGTGCTTCGAGCACAGGTTGAAGTGTCGCAGATCCGCTCAGAAATCGAAAAGCGCATCCAAGAGAAGGAGGAGGAGTTCGAAAACACCCGTAAGAATCACCAGCGTGCCATGGACTCAATGCAGGCTTCACTGGAGACGGAAGCCAAGGGCAAGGCAGAACTCCTGAGAGTAAAGAAGAAGCTTGAGGCTGATATCAACGAGCTGGAGATTGCTCTCGATCACGCCAACAAAGCCAATGCCGATGCACAGAAAAACCTGAAACGATACCAGGAACAGATTCGGGAGCTCCAACTCCAGGTGGAAGACGAGCAACGACAACGGGACGACATCCGCGAACAGTTTTTCAACGCCGAAAAACGTGCCACTCTTCTGCAATCCGAGAAGGAAGAACTACTTGTTTCCAACGAAGCCGCCGAGCGGGCTAGGAAGCAAGCGGAATACGAGGCTGCCGATTTTCGCGATCAGAACAATGAGCTGTCGGGACAGGCTGCTTCACTTGCTGCCACTAAGAGAAAACTCGAAGGAGAAATTCAAGCTATTCATGTAAGATTTAGTTTTATAATTATCTGAAAACGTTTCAAATGGAATTATGTTTTACAGGCTGACCTCGATGAAACTCTCAATGAGTACAAGGCTGCTGAAGAGCGCAGCAAGAAGGCAATGGCCGATGCCAGCCGTCTGGCCGAAGAACTTCGTCAAGAACAAGAACATGCGCAGCATAACGACCGCATGCGTAAGGGACTTGAGCAACAGCTCAAGGAGATGCAAGTTCGTCTTGATGAAGCTGAGGCTGCAGCACTTAAAGGGGGCAAGAAGGTAAATCTCATTATTCCATAGCAGCTATCTTCATATGAGCCCCTCAAAAACGATTTTCTAGGTGATTGCCAAACTAGAACAACGCGTGCGTGAGGTAGAATCTGAGCTTGATGGAGAACAACGCCGATACCAAGAAGCCAACAAAAATCTTAGCAAGGCAGATCGCCGAGTGCGAGAACTTCAGTTCCAGGTGTGGTTTCGTGCAGTAGGCTACAAAATTGAGCATGAGCAATTCATGTGCTACTCTAGGTCGACGAAGATAAAAAGAACTTTGGACGCCTGCAAGATCTCATTGATAAACTCCAGAACAAGATGAAGACACAGAAAAAGCAGATTGAGGAGGCGGTAAGCTATTGTATCGTAATTTCGCAATGCTTACGTAGTCAATGAAGCCTACTCTGAGATTTGACATGCAAACAGCTCCCCGCGGCTTTCATCAGTGCCACTAAATTATTGCAAAGTTGAATAAGAGAAAAGACTTTTGTATAATGAATACAACGAAATTTCTTGTAAATTTAGGAAGAAGTTGCCAACCTGAACCTGCAGAAGTATCGTCAGATCCAACACCAACTGGAAGACGCCGAGGAACGTGCCGACGTAGCCGAAAACTCTTTGTCGAAGATGAGAGCCAAGTCACGATCTAATGCCTCTGCAGCCCCAGGAGGTCTTCAAACCTCGCAATCCGCCACTGTTATGCGATCGGCATCTCGTACACGCGCCAGCGATTTCTAATCTGATAAATGCCACCTAATCATCAATTTCGCATAGTCCCATTATTCTTTTAAGAATAGTAATATAACTGTAATAATAGTGAATAGTGTTCTCGCTTAGTCAGAAGATCAATGTATTTCAAGTTGTTGTCACTGTGAGAAACAATGGCACAAAGAGTGTCAATGTTCTACAATTTTGCGATTTTTAGATTATTGAATAGAGATTCACCTCCACAACTCAGTTAAAAAATTAGTCTTATAAAGCGTTTTCAAATTTACCAGCTGAGTACGACACTAGAAGGAGAAAGCAAAGTTTTACTTGCACAATTGATAAGATGTGCATCTAATCCCCACTGCGATGATTCTGAACATACACCGAATAGGATAAAATAATTTAGAGATGTAGCATTAAGGGGCCAGAAAGATACAAACTTGCATCACACTAATTTTCATGGTTTTATCTTTGTGCCAACACAAATGGTGTTCAGTGATCTGCCAAGGATGGTCACATGAAAAAATAGCATTTTGAAAATGCATTTTAGCTACGGTGGAAATCATACCGTATGTATAGATTAGGTCCACTGGTGATAGCTTGAGTAATCATTGGACTGGTCTGCGAACAAACTAGCATCACGTCTTAGAAGCAGGCGAGATTCCAACAAAGAACTGTTTATTTTTGGAAAATCATCATCAATGAAAAGTTAGCCGTTGCTATAATGCTTGTGTCTTAGTAAGTGCTCCGACCCTGAATAACTCTGGGTTATGATTGGTGTTTAGCCCCATACTGCAAACAACAAAAGTTCTCTTCATGGATACAATCGGATGCTCCGCGATTAGCACCGGAGTTGGTATCTCAGTAGGAGAAATAATCTTTTAAGTGCATTGAAGGCAAACTATGAAGGGAAGTTGTGTGCGGCAAATAGCTCGGGCAGTGCTCTTTCTAATCATCACTTATAACTGATCAGCATTTCCTCGTAGTGAGCTAGATCTTTTAAAAAATCGAATGTGATGACACTGACTTTGATGCCTGGTCCATAAATGCTGGACCAACTGTACTGGAAATATAATTCCCAAAAAGCAGAGATCCATGATAACAAAAATTTTGGTCGTAGGTTGACTGCAATCTTATAACATTGTATAACCCGTAAAAGCAAAATTTTGGGAATGAGGCTGCATCAAAAGTACCGGAAAGTTTCGAAGCCTCTTATTAGTTGAGTCTAGCAATCAAAAACAAAATCATAACTACAATAACGAACTAAATGGATCCAATTTTCTCACAACAATTTTATAATATACGGTCTCAAAAGTTTGGATACACCTGACATAATAACCGTTGTTGATAGTCCTTTTCTACAAGCATAAATCGGCATTGGTATCTTAAGAGTAAATTATACTTCATTAGTGCTTAAGACGACAGCCCTTCGGAAAAAAAGATAATGCCAGTTTTGCTAAATTTTACTAGAAAACGGTTTTCCAGAAAAATGATATTGCCGCTCCATGATTGCCAAATCTTTACTTTGACCATTGTTGATCGCAGCATACACCTAAACGAAATCTCCACTTCGAGCATAACTTCGCTACCGATGTACATGCAAATATTTGCAGTAGTCTATTCTTCTATAAATCACTTTGAAACAGGTGATATTTTCACAAATTTAGAACATATAGTTTAACTTTTTCAGAATGACTTTCTCTTGAAGATGGGAGGAGTGACTCTGGGGTAGTGTCTCTCTTGTCCTTATTTTCGCTTACATTGTTATTCCTCAAAGAGACTTCCTCTCTCCTTCTTGCTATCATACCATTTTGGGCACACTACAGTGTGTTGTTTTGAGATTTGGAATACATTGCGAGATCGCATTTGACTGGGGACCTTCTGAACGATAGCTATTGCTGCCAGTAATTTGGCGAGCGCTCGTGCGTAACTTGACGCATAAACGCAAACAAAGAAACTTCGTGTACACTACTCTTCTTGAATTTGTCATGTTTTGTGCTTACAAAAGAAATAAAGGTGAAAACAACATAAATATTCAAAGAGTAAAGGGGCTTTCTTTTATTGTGAGCCAGTTACAACTTTTCTCAAACTTGAGCGGTTTTTCAATGCTTACTTCCAGCTTCACAATTACGGATTGACTTAAACAACCCACATTTATAGATTCAAATTTTATATAATTTTCTCATTGTTCATTCAATAACTATAGACAGAGTGGTTAATCTTGGAGGATAGGTGACGCTGTTAAGCTTAAGGTAACACAGGTACCAATGTAGAAAGTCAGGGCTTGGGCTCACTGCGGTTGTCAGGAACCGTCGCCCACGAAGCTATATGAAACCAGCTTGTCACATGTGACTCTCACTTAACGCGGTAATAAGCCTTACTTTATTTACAATACAGCTTTTCTAAATTTTTTTTAAAGCTGGTGTGTCCTACTTAAGGAATAAATATTTTGAAGCTTCCGCATGCACTTATTTTCGAAGGCTGGACTAACTTCTTACTACTCGCCAAGGTTGATTTTTAATATGGCGCCGCCGGTGGGTATAGGAGGAAAAGGAGATCCAATTCTTAATACTCACTTTGGTTTGAGTGAACTCAAAACGTTACAGTAAGCTGCTGATCGCAAAGCTTAAGGTTACCGCTTAGCTACGGCAGATTATACACTGATGTCAAAGCACATGCGAAGAGGGATCGGCGGCCTTACAGTTTCCCTTCAGAGAGCATGGCATTGAGGAGAAAGTCAATAGAGCCATCTCTCTGAAGGGAAAGTCCAGCTTTGAAAAGAAACGGTGCTCTAACTCAGTTTGAATAATCTTATAATGACAACAGGGCGTGGGAGTGGGGCGCAGCAAAGCAGAAACGGCGCTCGACAAAAGGGCATGGCACCAGCTAATAACAATGTATTTGATTCAAAGCCCAATCCTCATTCATGTATGAAATGGAAGCCAGCGCATTTACCACTCAAGGCAAACCGGAGGCAGTTTAGGAGTTAGGCAAGGCGGTTACCGCAGCCTAAACCCTTGTTCAAAAGGAATAGCTCCAGTGAAGCGCTGAACGCATGCTGTCACTTAAGTATATGTGAGGAATTTACACTGGTGGCAGGTCATGGGGTTGGGGTTGGCGCGGAGAGGGAATGGTGACCTGTTTGAGAGGCACGGCTTCAATGAAGCCTGAAAGTCAGTTTTTAAGTAGAAAGAAGTGAAACTCCAATCGTAGTGAGTAACCAAGTTATAGGGTTGAGATAGGTGCAATGTGGAAGTGTCACCGACACAATCCTCCAACGGCATGGGTC